AAATGTTATGAATATTGGTCGGGGCAGCACGGTGGCGCAACTGGTAGAGCTGCTGCCTCTCAGCGAGCAGGTCCTTGGTTCAAACCCTGGTCCAGGGGCCTTTCTGGGTGGAGTTTGCATGTTCTCTCCATGCATGCGTGGGTTTTCTCTGGGTACTCTGGTTTCCTCCCACAGACCAAAAACATGCATGTTAGGCTGATTGGTAACTCTAAATTGTCCCTAGGTGTGAGTGAGAGAGTGAATGGTTGTTTGTCTCGTTTGTCTCTATGTGGCCCTGTGATAGACTTGCGACCCGTCCAGAGTGTACCCCGCCCCTCGCACAGTGATTGCTGGACATGGGCACTGGCGACCCCTGTGACCCAAAATGGAATAAGCGGGTAAAGATAATGGATGGATGGATGAATATTGGTCCCCAACCGACCCGAGTCTACCGGACTATCAAGTGTGAAAACAACCCAAGTCTCTGCCCCTTTATGCCTTTTTCATATCCTCTGTTCCCTGCCTCATCCATAGCCCCTCATGTCATGTTTCTTCCCCCTTCATGTCTCATTACTGCTCAGTCATGCTCAGCCTCTCAGCCACACCCACTTCACCTACAGTTCAATCAGCCTCATGTGCTGCACCTGCTGTCTGCCCTATTTAAGAACACTTGTTTCACTGTTCTTGGCCAGATTATCAAATTGTTCATGGTGTTAGATGTCTAGTTATCTTGTCCCTGCACTCAAACCTCGTTTTTGGATTCAACCTCATGCCTCGTCTTTGGAATTAACCACTCTGCCTGTCCCTAGTCTGATTCTGCTCTGCTCATCTGACCCTGGTACAACTACATTTTCTGCCTCATGGATATTGAATTTAGGATCACCCTTTGGACTTGTGATTGGAGCTCTGACTCCCCATGCATGACCCTTGTTTTGCCTTCTGGTACACAACCCTGGATTACCCTGCTGTTCACAACATTAAAGGCCTCCCTCTGCAGCTGTCTTCCCACTTGTTACAGTGACATCATCCTGCCCAGCTCCAACCGGTGGCCCCACTTCGCCTGCTTGTGAAAAGCTGGTAGGTGGCTCTCTCCCTCAGCCTGTGGGTGTTGGAGTTTCCTACAGCTCCTGCTCTGTGGGCACCTGCACAACTGAGAAGAATCTGGCTGATTATCATGCAGCTGTTGCTCTGAGGACATCAGCACCCACACAGCTGAGAAGAATCTGGCTGATTGTCACCTGAAGTATAAAGAGCAGCAGATGTCTCATCTCGATGCTGGAGCATTGAGTCTGCTATGGTAGTAATACTTCTAGCCTGTGATTCATTGTTGTTTTGAGTAAGACTGACCTGTTCACTCTTGCCTTTGCATTTAAACCCTTGGTGATCTACTTGAGTTCTGGACCTTTGTGAGTGACCTATCCTAGAACCCTTTGGAGTTCTCCTCAGCTGCTTTCCTGTGCCTTCCTTTCACTCACGCTACTACTTTTCCACAAGAAAATAAGCCAAGCTCATCCTGCCAGCATTATCCCTTTTGGAGAAACTACCACTAATCCTTGCCCTTGCTTCCCCAGGGATCCTGAGCACTGTAAATAAAATTAACTTAACTAATCTTTGGTCTTGTAGTCTGTTCACCTCAGTCTTTGCATCTGGGCATCCGTCAAAAATAATAATGAGGACCTGTCATCCTGACACCTTCTGCTGCTGCAAAATTTATAAAACTGTTCTTGTTTTTACTCTTGTTATCTGGCTGTATTTGAATCCAAAAACCTGGTCCTTAACATAGTATGCAACTTTTATTGCTGCTCCCTGAACTTCTCCATAATCTGATGCAAAGTGGAAATGCTATCATTGGTGCTTCTGTTTCTTTATTCTAATTTGGAGTCAGGATAAACTCGCTCACACAGACACTGAAGTCTGTGAAGGAGGATGTCGGCTAAGACTTTTCTTACAACACTGAACAGTAGTTACTGCATTGACTGTGATTAATTTTCTTAAAATGATTGTAGATGCTAGCATCAACCCAGTCAGGTGGCAAATCTTCTGTTGTCCATAAATGACTAAAGATTGTCAACAAGAAGGATTTCACAGTATTGCCATCATGCACTTTTTTTTTTCTTCTTTCAGCTTCTCCCTTCATCTGGGGTTGCCACAGCGAACTAAGTTGCATGAAGACTTGGCAATTATTTTTACGCCGGATGCCCTTCCTGACGCAACCACAGACAACCGAGCTACCACAGCCCTCTGTGTGGAGCAGAGAGCTGCCCTCTAGGGCCTCTGGGGGAGCAGATGGTAGCGATTAAGGGCCTTGCTCAAGGGCCCAGAGTGGGGCAAATGAGGGTGGAGGCAGGTGTGTGTGATTTAATTTTTCCACCCACATTTTGATATTGTCAATACTGGGAGTTGAACCAGAAATCTTTTGATCACAGGCCCACCTTCTCTGACCTCTGCACAACTCTCTCCTCACCATGCACAATAATTTCTGTTAAAATATGTCTTGTCCTGAACTCTTAATTTAGTGTTTTTAGTTTGTTTCTACACCTCTTCCATGGTGATTGGATCAAGTTACTCAATAGGAAGTTCCTCAGTATAAACAATGCCCCAGTCAACACTTGTTAATTGGTTAAGAAGATCACTGACGTGCTCAACACATCTATTTTTTTCTATCCTCTGATGAGAGAAATTCACTGCTCTTTGTTCTAACTGGATGTAAGTTTTTGGATTCGAGTCCATACACAGCATTGAGAGAAGCATAAAACTGTGGGTTTTCTCTCTTGCATATTGCTCTGCCTGAGATGTTTTTCCATGGAACCATTCATTCTTAATCAGAGGCGGACTGGCCATCGGGAGCGCCGGGACACTTCCCGGTGGCCTGGTTGCCGAGGAACGGGACTAAAGGCTCGGTTCGGGTCGCATGGACTTTATTATTTTAAATAAACAATTCACTTTTGCCTGGGCTCAGGTCTCACGCTGCACTGCAGCGACGGAGAAAGCCTGGCACATCCCCCGGCCGGGCCGGCCCCCTCCCTTCCTTTTCTGTGTGTCACTCACAGAGCAGAGACACACACACACA